GCTGTATTTCAGTCTCGTCCGCTCTCTCTTAAGAGCTGAAGAGTCAACCAGCAAAAGCCCAAACCGGGGGCAATTAATGCCATGGCGCCCGTTTGTTAAATAGCGAATAACGCATCCATCATCGGCAAACTGTGTTCGTAGACTGTATTGAGAATGAACCGTGACGTTACTGAAAGTCCATCATAGTTGTGGAGAACCTCGAACCGTAGGTCCGCATCGGGCTTAACCACCGAGTAAGAGCGTCCGTTCTTGCCCCACTCCCAAATTGTAGATCAAATCGTATAGCTTGGCAGCATAAACGCCGGTTTCAGGATATGAGTACTGCTGAAACTCCCGTATTTCAAGACATGTTTTAATGTCTATTTGACAGGAAGGAAATAAGCACAAATCCCATCAGAAAGTTGGAAACCGGAGGAAGCTAGCGCCAGACCTTATCACCTACCATAAAAATGTCTTAAGACTTAGTTAAATCTCGGTTAATCACACGTGAGGGCTCCAGATGAGATGTTGCCCCATCCACTCACTGTATGCTCAGCCGGGGAACCTCGAGGTGCCCAGACCGCGATCAAAAATATCAGTCCCGAGGTAAACCGATGTGAATAGTTGAACTGTGTTCATGACAGTTCGACCATCGGATTCGAGGATGTCCACCGTGCGCCCCACATTTGCAGCAGCAGTGGGAGCAGGTACGGTGGCTTACACAGGGGTTTATAGTGCCGGTAGACATGCGCTGCATCTACATACATACACTATCTTCACCTCCCCCGCTTAAGCCCGGTGCCAAGACAGAGTCAAGAAGACCGGAGACGGGGGAGGCCGCAGGTGGATGGCTCGGACGGATCCTCACCTTGGCGTTCCACCACATCCCCCGGTTCACACAACAAATAACCAGGATTTCAACCAACAACAGAGATCTGGAGGCTGACACGGCCGACGCTGCCGCAACTAGGCGTGCTGCCAACGCCTGGCTCTGATCCCACACTCTGATGGGACTGCCATAAAGGCCACATTAAAAAGGAGCCATTGCAGCCTGACTCTCAGACCACCACCAGTCAAGGAGGAGGTCCATAATACCCCGTCAGTTGGCAACATTCCAAGCCACGGCTTTTAGCGCACCGTGATAGCTTCAAGCGCATCAGATTGTTTATAGTGAGGAAAGTGCGCTGAGTCGTCGACCTCACTCTCCCTTCCCATCCCCACACCCCAGCCGCTGTCTGAGCCGGTCAGCAGACTGGAGTGGGGAATGGGCGCGGTGGCTGTCATGATCGACTGACCATGACTGCGCGCGCCACGGCACGACCTGGCCCCCATACACATAAGACCAGAATTTCACACAGCGGAGGTTGAACGGCGTGCCTCTCACTTGCGTGAGAGTGCCGTGGAAGGTGCTGTTTCAGCCCGTCCCGGCGTGGCCGGGCGGCCAAGGGTGTCAGTCCTTGCACGAGCACCTCGTGTTCATACAATGTCAAGGGCAGCCATGTTGCCATATGGACAGCACAGGTACTAGTCAAAACCTCCTACACGCGTTTCGCTCACGTTCTGTCGCTGTATGCCGCGGCGGAGACATTCGGCTCATCAGTGGATCCCCCAGCAAGTGCCTTCATCGACCGAATTACAAGACATGCTCTTTCCGCTGAGCCTTGGGCTCAATGCAGAGATCTTATAGACACTCACATAACGACTAGGAATATATAATGATAGGAGACTACCGATAACGACGAGAGAGACTGGGATGGCCATTTCTGGCTTATAAGCCGTCGTCCGTCAGCCTTACCCAAGCCCGGAGTTCGCATCACTTGAGTTCGAACCCGCGTTTCTTAATCAATCGAGAGTTATGAAGTCCAACGCCCTACCAATTAAGCCACGGGCCCGTTGTCCTGTCGCTTTGGATGGCTAATAGTAACGTATGGTGGAAGTGCGGTCAGGTACAGTCCCGTTGTACCTTGCTATAACACTGACCAAAGCAGGCAAAAGCAGGAGCAAGCCCCAACCCGAATGGTAAACCTCGGTCTCGTGGCAAGAATCAGTTTATCGCATCTGGAAATCGGTGGGGCTCTACCCCCTATCTCCAGCCTCATAGCTTCGGAATACGTAACCATGGCCTTGACAAAAACCACAAAACCTACTTGATAGTTGAAGAACAACTAACCGTAACTAAAACCTTAAATGTGATCGTTGCCTTACTGTTAGAGCGAAGACATGACCATAATGTCAAAGCTGCCTCCCGTAAGATGCTCAATTGCTGTCTTAAATCTACCAACAAGCATCCAACCCTCAGCTCTCAGAGGGTGCCCATTTCAAGGTTCAGATCTCGTTTAGGCATGTTTCCCGCATAAGGAGGAACCGTAGTCGTCAGTAGGTTTTTCATAATGTAGTTGAAGGTGGCGCTATGAGTCGAATGAACTTCTCTCTTCTCGCTAACTAGCAAAATATCCCTTTTCAGGCCAGACCGTCGAACTACAGATTCCCTTCCGTCGCAGAATGCGTCAGCTTCAACTACCAGAGCATTAGACAACAGCGCATTGCGTCAGTGCACCAAGAGGTAGTCAAATCTTCGGATGTGGCTAGGCACTGAGTTCGTAAAAAGAGCCAAAATCTAATCTCGACCCTAGCTTTACGCCACCCCACAGTCTCTGACCTAGAATTCGTCCCAACCGTAAATTCTATCGTAACCGTAACCAGTTTAAACCAAGTCGAAGCATGCTTTAGACGGGTGCGTGATACAAAACCAGACGTATGTAATTATCTATGAGCAGATTATAGGTAATAGCACCATTACACGACAAACGTTCCTCGCTACAAGTAAAACATGCAGCCCCAAGTTAATGTGCCAGGAGAATGCACCGAGAGGTACACCATGAATCTAGTAACTACAAGATAATTCATCCGCCAAGATGATTCCGGCGCAAACAGTGCACAGTAAACCGCGATTTAATCGGGTTTTTGAATGACCGGAGTGCCATGGTATACTTGTTCTGGTCGGATATGCTGTGAGTCGGTGAGGCCTAGAGGAGCAACTGTCAGCTGAATGATAAGATCTTATCATTCAGGCGCAACACCTTTGCACGGAGGGAAAAAACCCGAAGTCGGTAGATAAACAGCTGGAAAGGACTCACGGAAAGCGAACTTCAGATGACAAATTGCCGACGGAATCCTGGTCAGATATATTTCTCACCCAATCCATCAACGGGGCATCGGTCTGGATGTCAGGCAGAGGATACATGCCCAGGTAGTTGGTGCTTATCTCCTGCCAAGCTGGGGATGAGCAATTCAAGTCCACTGACTGGCCTGTGCAGATAGTGTTACTTGAGAGCCAGGAGAGAAGGAGGGCGTGTTTCGGACAGGATACCACACTCACATGTCCCAGAACAAAACATGGTTTTGGTGCGGACGTTGTGACCGATGAATCTTCTCACGCGCCGACATTTTGCATCACGTGAGCTAATTTTCTACATAGAGACTCAACTCTTACTACCTAAACATGCTATAAAGATCACATTGTGAAGGAAACATTGCCCTCTGACGCTTACTTCTGATTTGGGCGGGGTTATCTCATCATTTGGCAACCTCCTAAAAAGCAACTGGCGGTGCGCCGCAACCGTTTTAAGCGCATTTTGCCGTTTGTGAGGAGGCTCCGATTTGAACAAACCCTCCTCTCTTTCCTCGACAT